CCATATTGGTAAAGAAGTTAAACGGTAACTATTTGTGGATGATGTAATACCATACATAGAAAATCCTAAAGACTCCACCAAACACTTACTAGAAATAATAAATGAATTCAGTAAAGTTGTAGGACATAAAATTAATACTGAGAAATAAGTAGCATTTCTATACACAATTAACAAAATAGAAAGAGAAATTAAGAAAACAACCTCATTTATAATTGCACCAACCCCCCCCCCCAAAAAAAAACCCTAGGAATAAACTTAAAGAGGTGAAGGACCTGTACTGTACTTTTTTGAAGACTATAAAACATTGATGAAAGAAACTGAAGATGATGCAAACAAATGGAAAGACATTCCATGCTCATGGATTGGAAGGATTAATATTGTTAAAACGTCCATACTACCCAACACAATTTAAAGATTCAATGTAATCCCTATCAAAATACCAATAGCATTATTTCACAAAACTAGAACAAATAATACTAAAATTTGTATGGGACCACAAAAGAACCTGAATAGCCAAAGCAATCCTGAGAAAGAAGAACAAAGCTGGAGGTATCACAATCTCAGATTTTAAGATATACCACGAAGTTGTAGTAATCAAAACAGTGTGGCATTGGCACATAAATAGACACATAGATCAATGGAGCAAAACGGAGAGCCCAGAAATAAACCCCCACTTATATGGTCAGTTTATCTATGACAAGGAGGCAAGAATATACAAGAGAAATACAGGCTTCCAATTATGGAATGAATACATCATGGGAATAAAAGGTATAGTATTAAAAAAAAGAAGAAGAAGAAACATCTAGAATAATGTTTGACCAAATATGTGGACACCATCACTAGCCAAGTTGGCACATAAAATTAACTGTCATATGATGCTTGATAAATTATTGAATAGTTGACTGATTCATTAAAAAAAGGGTTCAATTGGCAAAAAAAAAAAAAGTTGTTTTCCTTGAGTATGTGGCTGTGTCTATATAAAGACAAATATTGGCAGATTTGTTTATTAGGGATTAGGTCCCCCCATATAAGGCACTGAAAGTAATAGCTCAGTTTGTGTGTAAGATTTGAAGGAATGTGTGTAGTATTTGAACACATAGTTTAGAATCAATACATGTCTCATTCAGTCATTAATTTATATTCACTCATTTGTCTCTGTGTTGTTTATGCTTAACAACCCTATGCAGGGAACAAATAGTCACTTGCATAAAATTTAGGTGCATGAAACTCAGGAACATGAGTTTGACTCTACCAGTTGCCAGTTGTATGGCCTTGGGCAAGTTGCTTAGCCTTTTTAAGCCTCAGTTTCTTTATCAGTAAAATAGAGATATTAGCAGAATCTACATCATACAACTAGCATCATGCTTGGTACACTGGAGGAACTTAATCATAGCTGTAGATTATTGAGGATTATAGATTTTTAGGAATTAGTGATTATAGGTATCCAAGGAATTGAGGGCATGTTACTAACTCTAAAACCATATTGCAGAGACTTCTGACCATCCTATACTTTCTCTTGGCTTCAGTGATTTTATCTCCTTTGACTTAAATCTCTTACACTTCTGGTGTCTTTACTGGTCCAAAATAGCCAAGCATGTTCATATACCAGGGTCACTGCCCTTGTTCTTTCTTCTGCCTAGAATGTTCTTCCTCATATCATTTGTAGCCTGCCTCTTTACATCATTTAGCTCTGCTGAAGTATCTTTTTTGAGAGGCTTTCCTTGAATACTTTATAGAACTTTATAATTCTCTTTTACCCTGCTTTATTTTTATATATAGCATTTATTGCTGTTTAAGATCTTACAATAGATGTATTTATCTATCTCTCCAATTAAAATGTAGTTTTCATGAGTGCAGGAAATTTGTCATTTTGTTCACCAACAAATCCTCAACCTCTGGTACACTATTGACTAGAATATATCAAGACAGCCAGTAAATATTTACTGAATGAATGAATGTTAGGTTTGATGAATGCTTCTAGCTCTAAATTCTGATTCTACTGACTTGTTCTTGCTTCTGGGTTTAAAGGAAAAAAGGTCTCAGAAGTCACTGGACACATATAGAATGTAAAAGGACTTATATATTGCCAACTCTTTATAACTTTGAAAGGTAATGGTAGGAGACTGGGTCACTGTGTCCTCCACCCTGCTGTTTTCCTTATATAAATATTTTCTGGGTACTTTCTAGGAGCCAAAACTGGTGCTGGGGTTATAAAGATTAGAAGGATATAAGCCCTATACCTACCTCCTTCTGTTATCCAGAGATTACTTCTTTGCTGATACATTCTTTGTACCACTCATTTGGCACTTAATACATCATTGTCTTTACTCTTTATTTATTTCCCACACAAAATATTTTCATGTTTTATATTCTTTATACTAAAAGCAACCTAGTGAATAAGAACGATATTTTATACCTTTTTCTTCGAAAAATTATCCACAGCACTAAAGACAGTAATATTTATTGGTTGCTATTAATGATGGCATCTAAGAAAATCAAACACCACATTCTAATATATTAATTTGAAGCATTAAATTTATGAATCTCTTCATTACCATGAAATACACTTTTCCCTTGCCTTTAATTCTTTGAGAATAGAATTTAAGATTAACAGAAAAAAATATTACTTATTTCCTCATAGTGTAATCAAATGGTATGCATCATTAGAGATTATAAAAGGTTTTTCAGCCTTGGAAGGCCATAGGTAGGTAGTTTAGATACCTCACTGAAAAGGATTCTTATAACCCCCAGCTCTTCATTCTTCACTGTGTTCTTGATACTAAAAGAGACCTAATGACACCCAATCACTCTTGGACAGTTTAGCTTGTGGTTCTTCTCAAAGCAGTGTGATTGAGACACAAGTGCCAACGTTTGGTATTTAGAGGTGAGACAAAGCAGGTTATGTGATAAAATAAGAGGATACTGAAAACAACAACAACAACAAAACTTAGGAATGTTGTGAGGATAAATAACACAACTTAAGAACACTTTGGTTTTAAAATAGGCTTTCAAAAGGGGATTTAGAAAATTTCACAAGTTGGGTCCTTTGGGAGGGTTATAAAAGGTGGGTGACTTTATTTTTCTTTCTTCATTCCCTTGGGACCATGCCCCCCAGAATGGCACAAAGCACTACTGATTCTCTTCGTTCAGCCTGTGATTGTAAAGACGAAAACAACCAACCCAGTTCTCTGCCTAGTTGCAACTATGAGCCACGTATTGTCAGATGACACAAAGGCATTCCTATGTTAGGCAACTCATCCGTACTCATCAGAGAACAATGATCAGGCTAGCTGCTCTGCTTTCTGCTGTCCTAGTTATATTTATCCCGAAGAAAACAAAGGAGAGTAGTAATTTAAAAATCAGACTATGAGGTCTGAAAAACTTCGGACTGAATGTCACTCTCATATTGTGTGTACTTTACAATTTTAAACAGTTATTTAAATTATTCGAAAGGAAGTGAGTGGTGTGCATATAAGCTACTTTAATTATTTTAGAAGTAGTCTTTAAAATTAAAATAGGGTGGGGAGTCTAGGTGGCTCAGTTGGTTGAGCATCTGACTCTTGGTTTTGGCTCAGGTTGTGATCCCATGGATCCTGGGATGGAGCCCTGCCTCAGGCTCCACGCTCAGTAGGGAGTCTGCTTGGAGACTCTTTCCCTCTGCCCCTCCCTCCTCTCTCTCAAATAAATAAATAAATCTTTAAAAAAAATTAAAAGGGCACTATAATGCTACACTTCTTGATGGTTTTATGAGAGCCTATGACTAAAGGTTCAACCAAAAGAAACAAGCTATAAGGTTAAAAAATTAAATGTATTTTAAACCCTTGAAATAACATATAAGAAGAACTTTTACAGCAGGAGTTCCTGGACCTGTCAACTGGAATTTAATGCTGCTTTTGGGAATCCACTCATCTACTCTGCTAAGGAACTTCCAGTATCCCTAAAGACCTAACAACGAGGGACATAAACATTTAGGCTCTCTCCAAACTCAGTAGTCTTTCACAAGTGAGGGAAAATAAAAAGTAGTAAGTTTTCACAAAAAAGTAGGGATGTATTATTTGAAATAGTAGGCTCCCAAATTGTATTCTTAATAATCTAAGATTCTATGGATTGCTTCAGGAGTTCAGTAAATGTACAGCTTAAATTTCATTTTAAGATTTCATTTCAAAAATTGTGATTGTAAATATGCACATGAAAACTCATATGCCAATATTAGCATATAAGAAACCACTAATCTATTAACCCTCATTTTCATAGAACTCTCATTTATAGTTAGTAAATGATATAAATATTAACTTATGAAGAAAATCGCTTAAAATTTCTTCATTTATATTTTATTAAATGAATTTCTAAGAAAGAATTTACTGTAAAGGGAGTTACCCTGTTAAAAAAATTTTGAAAATCATTTACCTATATTCTAGAGTACAGAGAATCGAGGCATGCTTCATGAGAATCTGACAGATGAAGATATAAGTAGAAAGATTAAACTGCTACTATTTTGTAACTGTTCATACTTCAATGCCAAGCAAAATCCCAAGAAGTTATGGTATATTTAATAGTAAAATGTCAGTAAAAAATACTTTAATATATTCTCTGAAGACAATATTTTGAAAATTGTAAAAAATATAAGTTCAAAGTTGAGATCTGTCACCCTCTCTTTCTAGGCTACAAAATAGACCAGTTAAATAGTCTTCATCTTTGCCAAAATTTTATCTATAGCAAGAAGGATTCAAGTACCCTCAAGAATAGCAATATACACTAGAGAAACACAAAAAAACAAGAAAATGTCCCAATATTCTCGTGTTATCTGGAAACCATTTTAAGGTCATGCAATGTTATATCATGCAAGTCTATTCTGGCATTTAGTTTGAGAGTTATTTAGCTATTTGAATTCAGAGGAATCCCAGATATGTTCATTGTTTTTGCCACACACCCTTAAAATGGAAAGGAAACAGTATGAATAAGGCACTACCATCCTTTAAAACCACATGTGTAAAGGATACTCTTCACTATTCCGGATGTCAACTACCAGGAGCTTTGGTTTACTGGACTTTGTCTTCTTGGTGGGTGTTTTGAAATGGCCTGTCACTGTGAGTTCACACAAGTCGATCAGGTCCTCTGCTGAAATCCGGGGTGATACTTCTGACTTTAGGTCATTTAATGGGATAGATTCTCTTGACTGAAAAAAATATACAAACAATATAAATATTGAGAATAATACAGAGAGAAAAACTATAGCCAATATAGAATATCTGTAGGCTCTTGATATCAATCATTATAGCATATAGGAGAACAGGAAACTGAATCTCACTTTAGTGGTCTACTGTTTAACTGTATTCTTTACTATTGAGGTTTACTTACTCACAGAGGAAAGCATTCTTCTTTTGGTTCACTACAAGCTCCTGGCTCAAATTTTATAGAAGGAGATGAGGCAGATTTTTCCTTATGAGAGCACTGTGTATCTTTAAAGACAGCTCCTTTAAGTACCTTTCACTTTCCTTCAAGTATAATTACTATTGTTGTGAATCACATTAATTAAAACTCTGGTAATATAAGAAATTGCATTGTAACTCAGTATACATACCAATTAAAGAACCTGGTTCTAATATACATATTAGACTTTTATAACATAATTTATGTCACATATGGATAGTTGAGCAGAAATTAGATTTTCAGAGATGAATGCAGAGCAACATAACACTTTCTTAGATAGTAAACAAAAATGACAATGTATCTTAATTGTGAAGGAGGTAAAATCAGACTCCAGACAATCAAACCAGTACTTTGGTCTATGTGACTATTATATGGTGTAAGATTGATTCAGATTAAGGGCTATTTACAACTGTTCTCCACGTTATTTAGTAGGGAGAGGGAATTTCCTCCCCCCATAAAAGGCAATGCAATACAACTCAACTCAATTCGACCTAAATTTATGGAGCACTAGTAGTCACTCCTGAAAACTAATTTAACATAACTTGAGAATTTAAGAACTTTCAAAATTCACTTGATTGAGAACATAGGGATTCAAAAGAAAAAATGTATTTATATGCTTAAGTTTTCAAAACTGAGTCTATTATCTCATTTACTTGTTTTCTCTGTTTTCACAATTCTGTTGTGGGATACCACATTTAGAATTTCCAATTTAGAATTTCTAGGCAGGAGAGAATAAAGCATATGGATCATTTATCAGACTTTTTAAAAAAGCTTTTATTTAAATTCCAGTTAATTAACATACAGTGTAGTATTAGTTTCAGGTGTAGAATATAGTGCTTCAACACTTCTATACAACACCCAGTGCTCATCACTACAAGTGCACTCCTTAATCCCCATCACCTATTTAACCCATCCTGTGCTCCCCCCCCCAAAACCCTGCACTGTAATCATCAATTCAGACAGACTTATTTTGAAAAAAATTTGTTTTCGGTTGTAGTTTCAATGTCAGCTCTCATCCCTTGGGTTTCCCTGACTATGCCGTAAATTCTTTAGCGGTGAAGTACATTTTCTCCCACTTCATTAACTTTTAAATAGAAATGGAAATTGCTAAGCTTTGTGGGTTTATGGCTCTTAATAAAAGATAGACATTAGAAATTTTAATTTTTTAATGTAAAGAATTAAATCTACTTAAATATTCTGAAATTAAAAATGTTTCAGAAAGATAAAAGAACTTTAAAATCAGCTGGCCATACAATCAATGCTTCCATCTCCTTTTTTGTTAGATTGCAATCTCAATAAATATTTTTCCCAGGCTTCACACGAAATTGTACATTTATGAAGATAAAATAAAGAACTTTTGATTATCCTAGTTCTGCTTTTAGTCATTTAGTGATGAATGAGGCATTTCAAACAGAGGTTTCGTCTGAATGAAAGATGTGCCTTGTCTGATGAAGAAGAGAATTATTTGACCAGAGTATTCTCTATGAAGAATTGATTTAAGAAAGATCTGACCTTGGCATTGGTTCCAATCAAATGTAACATATATAAAGAGTTTCTCAAAGGAAAGAGCAATTATTACATGAAATGGTAAGAGCAGAAGAAGAGAGGAATCACTGACAAATTCATAACTTTCTGAACTTTTGTGAGTGTATATAAATGAAGAACATGACACATGCAAATTCCTCTGTGAATTAATTTTAAGAGATTAGTAAATTAGATTTAGGACAAATTATATTACTTTGCTTTATGAAGAAAATAATTATGATACTAAAAATTACAGAATCTAGTTTATTTTTATTAAGACAATTTTATATGCAATTTTACTATCCATTGTATAATTTCCACTTAGAGGTACAAAAATAAAACTTCCTCTGTACAACTTTTGTTTCACTTAGTACTACTGACATTGGCATTTTCCTTTGTGACTGGGTTTCAAACTCATGGGACTTTGTTTATGGACAGTGGACAAGAATTTATTATTTACTTATTTAAAGATTTTATTTATTTAGTTGAGAGAGAGACAGAGATAGGGAGAGAGAGCACAAGTGGGGAAGAGAGGGAGAAGCAGGCTCACCGCTGAGCAGGGAGCCAGACCCAGGGCTCGATCTCAAGACCCCGGGATCTTGACCTGAGCTGAAGGCAGATGCTTAACTGACTGAGCCATGCAGGCGCCCCAACAGTGGACAAAAAATTTAAAATAACTATAGAACAATTCTGGAAATACCTATTAGTTTATCATTTCTGCCCAAGAACCTATATATACAATGCATATTAAGCCTAGACATCCAAATTTCACAAGCCAATATGTCTGGGAGCTACTCCTTTTAAAAATATTCATATTTTATAGCCAACCTAGAGTCAGAGTTTTTGTTGTTGTTGTTTTGTTTTGTTTGCAAGTCTTTAAGGTTTACTGAATGGGTGGGTAGAGAGGAAAGTGATGAGAAGCTGCAATTCAAGAGAAAAAATCTTGGTCATTAAAGTCATCCCAGGCATAGCAGAGGGACACGGGGCTGGCCTTCCCTGTCCATGGCCTCTCAGGATACTGTTGTCAGCCAGCTGAAGTGGACCCTGGCCCCAGCCTCAGTGCCTGCCCTCTGATCTCCTATGTGAAGAGTTGATCCATGAAGCTCTGAGTGGAGAGCAGGAGGAACTCTGGGGATGCTTCACGTGGGGATTCCTTCTCCATTCTCTGCCCCTCTGGTGTTCACAAATACCACCAAGAGAATCCTGGGGAGAAACATCAGCAAACCCAAGGGTCACTGACTCATGGCCTTGGGTCTTACTTCAATAGCCTCTGGATCTAAGACTGACCTTGGGGCCCCATGGCCTAATGCCTGGCTGATAAGATGATACCTCTCATGGAACCTCTGCACATGCAGACCCACCTGGGACCTCCTGATCCAGGTTCTTCCTGAGGTTACCTCTCACATACATGGAATAGCAGTCATGAGATACTCCTGCAGGGGACAAGAAGCACTTGGCACTGCTTACATGCCCAAGAAACTGTTATAGTCACAAGAGTTAAACACTGGGAAAATCCTGGTCTTAGGAGGTGAATGCACTGAAAGCCTGCCTCCCTCCATCTACCTTGTGCTCAGTCACCCAAAGCTGTCCCATTTTGAAACCTCTGAACATAAAGAAAACCTTGTAACTTTTCCTTCGCCTGCAGACCAGAGCATAGGCAGCCTGTAATCACCTCAAATGCAGGGGCAAAAAAGGACATAGGGCTGCTGAAATTAAGAGATCAGTGTCAGAGGACCACAGTTGTGTTCCACAACCAACTCAGACATGCACTGAGGCAGGACCCACTCTTGTTCTCCCTTTTTAAAGCCTCATAGAAACCACACTGAGCCAGGCAAAGAGAGAATGCAATAAGACAACACCTAAAAGGTGGTAGAGAGGAGGAAGTGTGGGAAAGCTCCAGAGTTTGGAAGGCACAGGAATGGACCCTCCAAACACTGGGAAGTGCTTTCAGCAACTCCTCTCCCTGCACTATCAATGACCAGGACACAGAGAAACCATGATCACTTCTGAATGTGGATGGAGTCAGAATTTACTTAGCAGTGTCACTGAAAAAGAAATCATCCTTCAGTAGAGTGGGCTCTCTGAAATGACTATCTGGATATATTAGTTATAATCCTAACTAGGCAAGGAAAAATCTAAACCTGGTAACAAGACAGGCATTTTGCTGTGCACATTAAAGTATCGTAAAGTACATAAAGTACAGTAAAGTATAATGTACATAAAGTACATTAATGACTTGGTCGTGATACCTGAGAATCTGAAATGGTAGACTTTAATGAGCTTATGTCTGTATACCCTTATGTTGAGTATGTAACCAGCAACCATAAGGGTATAACTGTATACACTTATGTTTTATATGTAAGGGCTCTTAAATAACTATAAAGGCATTTTAAGTGTGAGCATACAGGGCTGGTATCTAGAACATTCCTTCCATATTTCCTGTCATGGATTCTGGCACTAACTTTAACCTGGTTAAAAAGACAGAAATATGGAAATAAGCACAGATACTTTGTTCTTCCTTATTCCTCATTCCAATCTAACGTATCCCCAAGTTCCACCAAAATACCTCTTGAATATGTTGATCCATTGCCCTGTCTCAAGGATTCATCATATCTTACATGGACTCTAGAAGCTGTTTGCCTCTCTCTCTCTATTCCCCTTTTCTCTACTTCCCTGTCACCTAGTCATTCCTTCTAATTCATCTTCCAAATGCTATTTGAGTTAAAAATAAAAATCTGATCATGTCACTTTTATAATTAAAATAATCTCAATGGCTTCCAGACATTGATGGAATGAACTCAGCATTCCTTAGTATAGCATGTAAAGCCCTTTATGAATTAAACCCTGTCTAGAGGCAGGAGACCATAGACCTTGGAGTTAGATTACCTGGATTCAAATCTTGGCCACCCCACTTATTAGTATGTGTCTTTGGGTGTGATATTTAACTTCTCTGTCCAAGTCCTTTGTCTATAAAGTGGGGAAAAGGTACCAAACACATTTTTCCCCCAAATAATTCTATCTCACTTTAAAAGGGAATCTATATGATATAATAACCATTCCAAGGCAAAGAAAACATCAAAGTGCCCCAGGACATTTTTATTAAGCTGCCTTAACCTAATACTTAAATCTGACAAAGATAGCACTAAACACACACACACATAATATTTTTTATGACTAAAGATTTTTTTTTAATCTCAAAACTAGAAAACTGATGCAGTACCA